TTGCCTCGTATCTCCAAATATCTGGTGATGTGATTCGTCTGTAGGAGCTGCTGCTGGGTCGTTAATATGTGAGGATGACCGACGATGGCAGCTAAGTAGTTGAAGACCTCAGCGGCCGGCATATCTTGACTGTGTTGACGACATTTCCTCTGTGTCGGAGATCGCGGCGCCTGGGCTCTGGGCCGTCCACCAGCAGATTTGCTAATGATGGTACTCTACAACGCGTGACTGCGATGAATAATAGATTCCGCTTTCGCTGCTCTCCCCAATTCTTGGAGGAGTTATTGTGCAATCGATGAAATGTGAGGCTAGTCCATGCATTTCTTTCGGTCAAGCGAGTTAATGTTTTGATTCCATTTTGCATCTCACGACCATTTCTGTCAAATAATAAATGTACCACCAATGAACGGGACCTGGAAACAAGACAGAGCATGCAGCCCATGCTCGTACGTGTTTTGAAACCTGGCTGTAATTGAATGACCAGAAAACATTAATGCGCTGTTGTTCATGGTTGGCTGTGTATGTGGAAAGTGGTCCTTGGCACCAAAACCACAAAATTTGTCAGCAGGCCTACGTGTGCAAACATTAAGGTGACAGGGGCGTGCGATTCGTGACGGCTTTAGGAGACGGCGGCATAGCCCGACGCCAACAGACACGTTCAGCTGTCTTCGATAAACGCGTTCGGATCCCCGTGACGTCACGGTGAGTCAGGGGGCACCGGAAAGGTCATGGAGATGATCACATCGTCATCAGATCACACAGCCCGTGCTGCCACCTGTTGGCCAAGCCAAACCAATGTACACCTCGCTCCCGTCAGACGCTGGTGGCGCGAGAAACACCAGAAGCCCGGTCAGCTGAGGGGTACCGTTCCGCCGGCCGAGAGAAGGGACGCGTGCGTTTGACATCGGACCAGCCCAAATAGCTCATATGAACACGGTGTTGCAGTTGGTTAAGGCGAGTGCCAGTGTCCGTGGGAGGTCCGTAGTTCGAGCCTGGCTTCGGTAAAATAATCACATTGCCACGGGATTAACCCTGTGGCAATCAGCACCTGCAGCGGATCGTCTGCCTTGAGGTCGACTTTTTTATAACAGACCTTTGGGTCCGGGCCTTGGTCTCACTTCATGTCGCCAGACCAGTCCTCTAATGCACCGCGTCCGAGGAATCGAGATTTCATCCATCCTTCTTTCCTTATTCTCGCTTCATTCCTCTCTCGCTTCATCCCCGTGACGCCCCGTTTATTCGGGACAACCTACACGTAGCAGCCAGGAGTGGACTGAAATGCCTCCTGGTGGGGCCACGTCCAAGTGCCGCGCAAATGCCCCTTAAAGGGGTCCCTGGGTGGGCTGAGTCTCAGCAGAGGACACTCAGGTGCATGTGGCTTGGCCACACTATTTTTCACTTCCTCTTATCACATAGTCCTCAGATGGTCACCACTGGCCGAAAAGGCTCTAACCCAAAACAGACCGCAGTCAGAAAAGCCCTTTCGTGGACACAAATGCCATCTGTGGGCCTGACGGCAAGTGCGTGGCCTAGACCGTCCCGCAAGGATGCCGAAAATCGAATTACCTGCCGCGTAGAGTCCGTGTGTAATGAACGATGTGATGGCAACATACAAGAGAAGCCTTGGTGAGCACCACAAATATCTCATGAATACCAGCCTACATCGATGAGCTTAGGGCTGTAAGCGAGCGGTGCTTCGGGCATCACCTTCGGGCATCAGCACGCTTCCGGCTGTGGTAAGTACACTGCTGTACAAGAGAAACACAGTTCATGGACTTATATGTGTAGGGTAGGCACCCGCACGATCAGGCACCCGGCCTGGTCAAGGACTGATCGGCCAGTTTTTAATAAATTGAAGCGATATTTATGAGCACTTAAGGTCGGCTAGTTATTTACAGAACAATAACTATCACCGTCATAACAGGAATAATGCTTCCGATGACACAAAGCTACGTTTCAACTATTACAACGTCATGATGCAGTATAACGCACATGTTTATCACCTCACAACGCCATGAGATCCGTGTTGCATCTATTTCATAATGCGGCAACGCTCCTTAATTCAACATATTCATCGCTCGCCCGCTCGCATATCTCCAGCGAATCTATCGTCGTTCAACAGGTAGCCCTTACGGTCCCTTCACGACGCCTGACTAGCTCCAAGGTGCAAGGTTATTTGGTATTTGGATTAGAGCCCTTTCGACCAGCATTGATCCTTTCAGGGTTATGGGATGAAGGAGACTGGATAACGTTGGGGCAGGACTAACCCCGCGCCTGGGGGTCAACCGCCGAGCTTAGCTCACGCAGGGACCTTATGCGGGGTATGCTCTGGACGCCTGGGCAGTCCCTCTCCCCCCGCCAGGGAGCCTCTCGGCCTACTCGTAGATGGCGTATGTAGCCCGCCCCGGGCAAGCGGGGCGTCGTGAGGATGCAGGATGAAGCAAGAGAGAGAGGATGAGAGAGTCGCATGCTCCCAGGTACGAGCGAGTCGGCGGTCGGGCCGTCATGGGGTGCCCCAAACGTCCTCCAAGAAAAAATGCATAGCATTTGCGTACAACAGAAACCTATACAGAGAGCAGGGAATTGGACGGACGAACCCGCCGATCGGAGAGGCGTGGTAATTGTACAAAATAGTATCTGCTAGTTACACCACCGGACAAATTACAACAGAATATTGGTGCTAAGAACTGGCCTAACGTCCTCTAAAAAGCACTGCTTTAATTATTTTTGCGGATCCCGTTTCTCTTCAGGCGTGCGTCGTGCAGCTTCACCTGGTGATGAAAACACACCCGTCGGTAGGTCGGCAGCTGGTCATTAGACTCCTGGTTAGCTCGGTGTAATGGTTGCCCAAACCGTAGTGAGTTTCCAGCGGATGGCGGCCGGAATCTCACACGTCATCGGTACCGATGCGGCACAAGGCCATGCTCTCTACTATCTGCCAGTGTACTGCATGTTAACCCACGTCCAATTGCACAATAAAGCGACGAAGCTTCTCCTCAGAACTCAGGAACACCTCTGGACTGCTCCTGCGGAGGAACCCATCAGCCCACCGCGGTCTTCCAGCCACAGACGGCGACATAAGATATGGGGTCGTTGGACTCCTGACGGCTCACCAGTGCTTCTTGGCAGGTTGCGCAGATTACCCTGTTCAGTGCCCTTCGGACGACGAACACGACGATAATGCAAACGTCACTGGCGACCATGAAGGACAGCACCGACCGGTAGTCATGATCGTCCAGTATATCGAGCACCTCAGTGCTGTCGGCGTCACACGCGTCCTCGACATCGCACTGACTGGGAGTGCGACCCACAGCCAGGATTTGGCGTTATGGCGGCGGAACCATCCGGACCAGCGGCGGCGCCGCGGCGGCCGTCATCAGGGGTGGGCTCACGTTCCATAGTTCCACAGTGTCACAGCCTTCTAAAAGTGCGAATTGGCATACTAAAACGCTTTAAGGTACTTCTCCCAGAGACATTACCTTGTTCGCCCGCCGCTGGCCACCGCCTGATGTTAGTCGCGGGCCGACGCCGAGCGACTTACGGAGACTGCAACGTCGGATGTCGTAGTTTCTGTTCGAAGACTCGCGAACGCGCATAGTTAAATTAGTAACGTGATTTGTATGCTAATTAATTCTGAACAAAGGTTGAACTCTCCCAGGCGAGCATGGGTGACCATTTCAGCACAACGTCATGACCCCATTTCGATCTACAATCTAGGTTCACTCTCATCTACGTTCGCAAAGCTCTGTACAGCCCAGAAAAGTCCCGAGGAGGCCCTGAGTGTTATCAGATGCAAAAAGTTGACTGAGCCAGTGCAAAACAAATAGCCGGGGTGGGCTACTCCATGCAATCATTTAGTGTCAGGTTCTTGCAATTTGTTGACTTCAAAGTGCAAACAGAATTGGATCGTTCGATGCCTATAGGCTTCTTTTTCATTAAAAGAAGGTACGTAATAAAATGAAATGAAGATAATCGTACCCATCAAAATCAAGTGGGTGATTTCCGGTGATTTTTTGTGAGGAGGAGGCCTTTGACAAGGAGAGGGTCCTTTGTGAAACCTGTCTCCCCGCCCCACCTTACCAATACTCTGAGCCCCACCTCTACCCCCAGCCAACAATTTATCGGGGCTTTGGCTGAGCAGATCTTATAGAGGCGCTGCCCGGCCTGTCAGTATCCAGTCTCTTGTATAAAATGGCTTAAACTACGTTACCGCCCAGGTAGAACCAAGCTTGTGCCCAGCTGGCATGTAGTACGTTTTCGCGAACGCCGCTGCAGAATAGGAGTGAGGTCTGACCGGGCTCGGACGGGTTTCCCAGTACTGTTCAGATTCTGACGCAGCATTTGCCAGCGGCCGCGCCACAACTGCAATCTTACGGGTGAGTACTGTAGGTGTTGTCGCGCGCGGCTTTTCTAATGTGCGTCGTGCGCAGCTGGGAAACCGAATTAAAATGTGTTGAGCCGTACAAACATCCAGGCAGGCTGACTGCATGCCTGCTAAGAGACTCGTTGGCAACATGCGGCAAGATCGGGTGAATTCAGAAATTATATTTGAACCGTGGATCCAAAAACATTGCGTTGACGTTAACAGTTCCCCCAACAAGCTCGAAATGATAACTTGGCGAATTACCTACATTACCCAATCGTGACGATCAGGAATTCAGGACCTGTGGATCCCTGTCTTGTTATCCCGTTCAGTTAACCGAACGATCCCACTTTGACGATGTGGTCAGTGTTGGGTGTCGTGCATGATGCCGGCCCAGTGCGAATCAAGCCTAGTTTTAGAATGGTCAGCTGCGGAGGATGATGGCATTGACGGCAGAGGTAAAAAAGGCGTCCACTCGCCCGGGGGCATAGGAGACTCTTATCAATGCCCGTACTTCCTGAAAGGAGACTAAAACGCTCTCATTATCCGAAATTCTGATAAACCTATTCTTTCACGAAATGTCGATTGTGATGCCTTTGAGCAGATTATACATATTTACGTTACACTGAAAGAGGGAAACATGTTTAATTGGCCTAGACCTTCTTCAGCACTACCCTGTGAGTAAAAATGCTGTGGGTGCACTCCAGTGTCTCTTAATTTCTGTACGGTTGGTTCAGCTCAGTTATCAATATGATCCTCGCCGTTACTGCGCTATCTTATCAGCGTGAAATATTTGATCTCTCACTGAAGATGTAAGCTTGTCATATGGGCCTTACATGGCGTCAGTGTAAACGCCAAGCTCAGTATGCGCGCCAACTTTTTTAAGTTGAGGAGACAAAGGAGTAATTCAGTGAAAGAGAATGCTTCGCATTTGAAAATAATGGAGCAAACATCAGATACGATGAAACAAGATCACTTAAAACTACTAGTATACTTTAAAGTAGAAAAGACTGCTCTAGACAACACGATTTCTCTGTTAAGCAAATATACTGATCGATACGCCATTGTTTGATTACGTCATCGTGCCTTCCACAGTATTGATTGAGATCCAACTGACCGCCGTCATATCTGGAAATCGCGCTCATGGACACCAGATATGAACGACTCGACCACCATATTTTTATTGGCCTTCATCGCCGCATGACTTATGGAACAGCAAGCTTAGAATGACGTTATTATGACGTCACGAGTGCCAGGCTGACTTTGAAATACTCCCCGAAATATTCTCCCCATCTTCGCGGGAGTATGGCTCAGAAACTAGGATTTAGGTGTTGAGAAGGGTGGGGCTGTGAACAGCAGCGAACGGTCGTCAAGATGGATGTTTCAGTCGAAAACCCCATCCAAATATAGAACACTCCTTTTAATTGATATAATTGTAGTATAAGTTACTGGAAAAACTTATGGTGCAGTGATGGTGATTTAGAATCTAATGACATCACTGTTATCCTTGTGCATAGCTTCGTTGTTGACAGGGTGGCGCAGTTTGCCTTAAATTTGCCGTTACGGCATTGAGCATAGTCAATCACTTGTGTCACGGCAACTGCTTCGCGAAAGGGATTGTGAGGAGCTGGTAAGTGTAGATATATTTGGATGCTACATTCGATGGGTGAGTAGTGTGAGTTGTGAGTTGGAGCTACTTACCTATATACCTTGGTCTACGCATGTATATAGGGCATACCAAATTTTGCATAGTTGCGTAAGACGGTGAACGGAGCATGTGACTGAATACCTAGACTCTCAACATTTATTCTTTTACTATTTGAAGATGTTCAGCTTCATGAAATACACAGCTCATAGAAGAATTTAAGGAGCAGCTCTCAGTATGGTGATAACATCATTTTGCAACTTGTTTATTCTATTTCTGAAAAAGGCACTGAAAACTTGCATTATTCCAAAAGATTGTGTTCGGCCAGCACCTGAGCAAAATTCCATCGTGGGATTGGTTGATGTAACTTTTGGGGATAAATCCAACACATCAAGGCAGACTGTTCAAAATCCAGTGAGATTCTCATCTTCAGAGCACGCATACCTGACAAGTAATATTAAAATGAAGCAGGAGAGTGTTGCTTTTGGGGCAAGATTCATGCTGGCTGATACATATTGATATCTTTGCCATCTTTTGTCAATAAGGAAAAACTGAAACCACAAACCTAGTGGTGTTTTAAATCGCATTGCATTTAGATAATACATGTATACACGTATAGATATATGCCATATTCAAATTTTGCATATTTGAAATGCCCTTGAAAATGCCCTGAAAAGTAAGCTAAGCATGCTTAGTTAGGGAGTATTTTCGCATTCAAGCTTTGGGAAATCTTGTACATGTGTTCCAAGTGATCTCAGGTTTGTGATAGATCATATGGCGTAACATGTTAGGTAAAACAGAACCCTAAATTGGGGACAGGACCCTCTTCATTTTGGTGCAAGGCTTGGGATGTCTTTAGGTTTAGGATATTGCTGACATGTTTGTCATATGATTGCTTGGAAAAATTCCACTAGGTACATTGAGTTGGTGTTCCATGAAAAGGAAGCTATATCATATGTGATTAAATGGTGTTTTGATTTATGCAAATAATGCAATTTTCGTTATTTTGAGAAGGTGTTTGTCATCAAAAAATCATTATTCCATGTTTGTCATTTTACTTGAATGTAAAATTAACAAGCCGCACATTTGAAGTTTGCCTTCGTTTTCTGGCTACAAATCATGCTTCCCCGCGTCCCGATAGGGGAATGATCAACTCCCCTAAGGTTTTATTGAAAATACCTATATGGTATGTTTTGCAATCGCGCCCAAATTTTCGGTAGTCTATGAAGCATCCATTGCGCTTGCTTTGAAACCGGAAACATATTCCTCGCTTTTCTGGCTTCGGAGCAGTGGCAGTTTTTTCAGGAACACTGCACGGCGGTCTACGGCTGGCACTGGCGGCGGGCGGCAACGGCTGATGCCGTGGAGTACGCAGCCCGCTGGTATTGTTGCAATAATGGGGCCATATATCATACACGTCTACTAAAAAACATACGGGTATGGACCATTGTACTCAATTAAACAAGGAACACGCCTGTTGAAATTTCGTATCCCTATCTGTGGTCTCGCAGGTATACCTGTGGTCTCGCAGGTATAATCTAAAGATGAGAAGTGCGATTTTCTAGAAAATTCTACATTGGACTGCTGTAGTGGGGTCTACATTGAACTAACAACATGAAAGCTAGTATCAATCACGAAATCTAGCTGACATCAATCTACCAGCGTTTTTCGCTGAGCTCTATCTTTATTAGTTCGGAAACACCAGGGGGTGTGGTTCGCATCACCCCTTCCCCCCCTCCATCAATTCGCGTTCTGAAAAAAGGCAAATCAGGGCGACGGTTGAATAGACAGACTAGACCATTTGTGTGTTATAGGACACGGGCGTACGCTCCTTTTAACCTCTGTTTGCCGGTGGAAGAGCGCTCCAATCATTTACGGCGCAGGAGTTGATTGAGTTCCGACGGACGAAAGTCCTAGCTTGAGGGCTTCTCAGCTTACATTGGTATCATCATGTCACTCCTGAGTCGTGTTCTGTCAGGAACTCGCCAACTGGCAAAGACGCACTTCCGTGAAACATCTGGAATATGGAGCACTGCACTCATGTCTCCCTTGCGACGTCGGTAGTACAGCAAAGGTAGTTGAAGGAGTCTGAGCCTCTCAGGATAAGGCCGGCGACTTAACTTTCGGACAAGACGCGTAGCTTATCACTGAACTCGTTCCAGCCGCTCCTGATCCAGTTCGCCGAACGGACCCCAGGTGATGATGCCATACCCTCGAAATGATGCGTCAAAACGAGACTACCGTGGTCCTGACAACAGCGGTAGCGTGAAAATGTCAATGTTGGCGAATGACAGTCTTACGACTGCCACATCTGGTTGGCCTTAGAAGCCCCCTCCGCCGTCTGCACGTGAGGCATGAGTCTACATGAGCCTCCACCATAATTACTGGGTGCTCTTTAGCGTGCACGGCTGCGATTTTGGCCCCCGTCGGGAAGTGGGTCAGCCGTGGATTGCAAGTGCTGATGTGTACTACTTTAAACATGATACGCTGAATGAGAGCAATCGTGCTCCGACCATGTGACCAGGCCATTGAGGACAGCATGGGGAGGAAAAGCGCCCAAAGGCCTCGGAACATGACAGTCCACCCTAGTATATGGCAGCAATTGCCAGCCATTACTACGATGCAGTGCATATCTAACCTTGACACGGACTGGTGCCCAGCTGATACACAGCGCGTCTACCAGATAGGACCAGGCAAGGTTCCAGCTGCAGCCCAGCACCTGTCCAGGCCACGCCAGTATCCTAGGCAGGTCACAACTGGAGCCCAGCGCCTGCCTGGGCCACATCGATACCCTAATATTCTACCAACATGTTCCCAGCTGGCGCCCAGCTAGGCCGCGGGCGGACGGCATTTTTGTTCCGCAATCATTCAAGCTTATTTCAATATAGACGGCCATCTTTAGGGCACACAATCTCAACTCTACTTATCAAATCTTCCACGCTGAAATCGAATGTTCAGAGAGGCATTTCGAGAACAACAGTTTTCCCTTAAGTAGCATTCATTTATTCATTGGCAGGTTCTCGATTGGTAGGCTCCTAGGTATCTTTCCTCGTCCAGGCCTTTTGATGCCCGGAAGCTGAAAAAGTATTTTGTTCTGCCGTACTTTGGCTCATATTTTGAAAGCCTCAAACGTGTGTTAATCAACCTTCCGTCATAATTATATCTTCGTCTAGATCCAAGGATTGTTCTCGGGAATTCTTTATCAGTAGATTCCTTCTTCAAACATAAAGATTACCTTAACGCTGTAAATCGACTGTTGTATACGACGTCAGGTGTGCCTCGTGTGAGGCATCCTACACGAGATCCACCCTTCGGAGCTTGTACTGTCGCACTCAGCAGCATTTAGGTAAATCTATCCGGACGGGAGAATTTCTTGCAAAACCTGATCCCTCCCCTTTACGAGAACGTTCATTTACCTGTGGCATCACAGTTTTAGCTTACAATTTTTGAATCTTGGTCATGACGTATTCCTCGCTTGATTTAAGAATTTAAAAGTACTAATTTATTTTGGAAACGCGTCTAACGCTAAAGATCATGACGTCATCATCTCCATTAGAAACTGTCATACACTTGTATATGTATGCAGAATTGGGGACTCGTCGTGTGTCATGGCATGTACATGTGTGTTTTTTTATAGTTTTTCTGGGTGTGTTTTAAACCGTAAGGGCCTACATTGAACATTTGTGGGTTTTTTTTGCCTGATGATGCAACCGTTTTTCTGTGAAATATGTTGCAAGTAAGATGAATTATATATATATATATATATATATATATATATATATATATATATATATCATGAACTATGTGTTTCCAAATTAAAGCGCCGGAATGCGGTGACATTTTGGACGGGCCCAAACTCTAGGGGGCCACATTGTTGCGTGGCCCCCCTTGACAAAGTTCTGGATCCATCCCTGGTCGCTTGTGACTGCTGCAATGAGTCCATAGCCCTGTGTCTTGAAAAAGCGGTCCGCATAATCACAGACCAATTTCTACCTCGATCGGATGGTCTCACCGACTTACCCTGAACTGTCAATGCCTCTCGTCGCTGAGGACAATGTGCTGGATCGCGACACGAAGTAGACAAGACCCAAAAATTAAACCCTATAGCAGGTGTTTATGGGACTACAATGCAAATGCCGCGCGCAAAGTTGTGGTGCATTAAAAGCCACTACCCCCCTCATATCAGTTCTGTCGCGTCGCAAATTGAAGCATACCCCTGCGGCCAGATGAAAACCTAGATCTACACATTTTTCAATACTTAACACTGTCTAGTTCGTGACGCTGAGAGTCTGCTGGTAAAAACAATGAATCGACGCACCGGCCTAGCCATAGGAAATGTACTGCTTTGTTGCCGTTCTCTCACCGAGTCGAGCGACCAACTCAAAATTAAAGGATATTTCTGTCGCCGGATTAAAATGAAACATAAAAAGATCATATGGTGCCGCAGGGAATGCAAAACGTTTTTACACAGAGGTGTGCTTGTGTTGTGCGACGAAATTAATTACCATGGAGGCATATCATGGATGCCTCATGTTAGGTTTAGCAGCGTATTCGTATTTCATGCATTATTTTGCCCAGGCCGTCACTATAGTTTTCTGTCAAGAGCATTTGTGACACCAAGCTGCGCGGAAAATGCTCATTTTTGTCACCGACCTTATCCATCAAGTCGGTGTGTCTTACCACCTCTGGACCCGGCAACAGGTTCTACATTGGTCTAGCTTGTTCGTGTGGCATCTAATGCGTCATCCATAATTAGACGGGGCACATGTTTAAAGCTTAGAAATCTTCATAGTCTCTGAGGTGTTTTTCTATATGGTGTGACCTATCTTTCACCCTGGCAAGAAGGGCCGGCACTGCGGGGAATAAAACGGAAAACGCGAAGCGTAACCATTATATTATCACCCCCCCCCCCCCTCACTCCCCCCCCCCCGCCCCCCGCCCTTCCCCAATGGTTGCAATAACAACAAATGTACAATAGGAGTAACATGAATGGAAACACAAAACGGTCATCACATGATGTCATGGGCTTAGCCTCCGTTGCCACGGTCGCAGGATGCTTGAGGACGCAATTAGGTCGCATTCTATCACCAACTGAACGTGTTCCTGAGTTTCCGCGAAACCCTGAGGAAGGCAAGCTTGAAGTCGGGCCGAAAGAAGCCGTAGATGAAGGGGTTGGTGGCAGACGCCGTGAACTGCACCACGCTGGCCAGAAGGTTCACCCAGCCGGGCACCAAACCCGGCTGCTGGAAGGCAATCTTCACCAGCTTCGTCACGCAGAACGGCGTCATGCAAATGAAAAAGATGGCGACGACGATGGCGATGGAGCGCACGATGCGCCGGTGCGAGCGCGCCAGATGGCGCTTCTGGTCGCTGTTCAGAGTCGTCGCATACGCCAGCTCCTCCGTCTGGGAGGGCGTGAGCGCGTTGTCGACGTTAACCGAATGGTCGTCCTTGGCAATGGGCTGTCGCGCCTGGACGCCCTCGACGGCCTTCGCCATGCCATCGGAAGCGACCGACCTGATGCCGTTGCTCTCTGGGACAACGGTTGCTTTAGTGACGGCCGGTTCGAGACAGATACCTTTATTCCTGCTGAAGATGACACTGTACCGCGTGGACGATCCATTCTCTCCGTTTTGGGTGCCAGTTTTCCCGACAGGGGGGTCAGCTATCCCGACAGAGGGGTCGGCTTTCCCGACAGAGGGGTCCGTTTTCCTGCTACGGACGACGCTCAACATGCTTGAGTTGCTGTTTGGCCGGGAACATTGTTCGTTCAATCCAACGAAGGCGCCGTCCATGCTGTTGGAGCCGCTGTCGCAGTTGGGCATGCCGTTGTCGTTTGTGTTAGGTGGCCCATTGCTACAGAACACGCCGTTCTTCCAAGAAGCGGCGGCAGGAGCGTCGCTCATCTCGACGGTTACGCTGTGAGTGCCGTGAGACCCCATGCGCTCAGCAGTGCCGCCCAGCGCGCGGGGCTCCGTTCCAAGGGCCGCGTCCCCTGCCGGTGCGTTTTGCTCGTCAGCGGTCGCCTCGGACTGGTCTGGACGCCGGGACTGACCCGCCGCCGGCTCCCTCAGCCCGACGGCGACCCGCTGCAGCCGGCTCGGTCGGCACTCCTCGGCCGGCATGGGCAGCATGGGCACGTCGGCCGGGCCGGTGTCCGCTTCCAGCGGCGACGAGCCGCCTTCGCTGTGCGTGTCCCGGCGCGCGCTGGCCGGCGTCGCGGTGCGCCGGCGCGACGGGGCGAACTCGTTGAACATGCTCTCGATGTTGTGTGTGCTGTCGATCAGCTCACTGACAGAGAGTCGCTCGGGCCGCGCCAGGCGTCGTGGGTCGGTGCGGCTGCGCCGTAGCTTCGTGTCAGGTGCCGTCGCCGGCGGCCGCAGCGACGAGGCGCGACGCAGAGGGGTGGTCGCCACGCCGAGCGCCGCCGCCGCCGGCGTCGGCGTCGGCGCCGGCCCAACGCGCCGGTCGCCGCGGCGCCTCACCGAGTCGACCAGGCGGCACAAGGAGAGGGCGGTGCGACGTTTGGAGGACGCGGTCGGCCGACGCCCGCGCTGTGACACGCGCTGGGACGTGCGTACGATGACGTGATTAGACCAGATGATGAGGCCCGCCGGCAACAGGAAGCAGACGCAGAACGCCACGATAACGTAGGTGACTGCGCCGTCGTGGATGAACCACTGGATGGCGCAAACGGCCTCCCATTGGTCGTATTGGATCCAGCTGAGGCCCATGGGCACGGCCCCGAACACAACGCCGACCAGCCAGATGATTATCAGTGGCAACACCATTCGCTTTGGGTGCATCTGCTGGATGTACTTTAACGGCTCGTCCACCGCCATCTTGCGGTCCAGGCTGACCAGCGCCAGCGTCATCATGGAGACGATGATGAAGAGGTAGTTGAGGCCGCAGTGCAGCCGGCACAGAGCGTCGCCCAGCGGCCAGCCGCCGGACGCCAGCGAGGCGACGGCCGGCAGCATCACCAGCACACACGTGCCCATGTCCGTGACGGCCAGATTGCCGATCATCACATTGCTGACGTGCTCCTTCAGGTCGCGGTCGGCCACGATGACGAACACGACCAGTCCGTTGCCGGCGATGCCGACCAGGCTGACGGTGGTGATGACGCTGGCGACGACCACGGCGGCGGTCGGCCAGACGCCGTCCAGCGGAGGCTCCGCTGACGCTGCCGTCGACGCCAGGAGACCCTCCACGAGCAGGCTGGTCGCCAGAGAGCCGTTGGTCAGGGCGACGGTGCTACCCGTCCAGGGCTGGGAGGCGCCGTTGCTGGGAGTGGCAGCTGCGTCCATCCCGCGCCGGCACCTGAAGATCACGGAGGACGGCTGAGGATGCGTGGTGAGCCGAATGGGGGCACACATTGAATGATATCGCTGACTAATGCATGCACGCAGACTGCAGAGCTCATTTTGCGTCCTAAACGTGCCAAACGTTGGTCCGGGCCATCAACCACGGCCGGTCATATGCTAGGCCACCGTTTTACATTATATGACATTATTATGACAGTTTCAGAGTCGTACTACATACGAATAAGGAGGTACAAGAAGATTAAAATGTGTGATGACGTCACGAACTCTTTTACATTTATTTTATTGTATTCTGGTAATGCGGTTCTTATGATGTTCGCAGAAAGTTCATCGAAAAGATAAAAGCCAATACTTTTAGAAAAGGTAGGGATGGCCAGGGTTGTCACTTTCTAAAATTGATTGGGGGCTCGAAAGAAAAGTTTAACTAAACTACCCCGAAAACGTTATTTCCCCCCGGATGTCGGGCACGTAAATTTGCCACCTCGACGTGAAAATTAAAAAAATTCAACATCTAGCAGATCGCAGTTTGATCTCCTGCGCAGAAATGACTTCACATGTTATTAAGGTGAGCTGCCTTTTTTGTGAAAAGCTTAGAATGCGATGCAATGCACACAAAAACGTCTTCGTAAATCTTAGTAGGGGATCACTGCTGACGACAGCTGTTGCTGATCGTATTGCATAACCACCACAGTCACGATTATGCGACGAATCGCTTGCCGCTGTAGGGAAAACAGGCTTTAAACTGTATCCGGGCCACCCTATACTCTTAAAAACTGCAGCATATTGCAATCAAATTTCTTTGTTCCAATCCAGGTGTTATCATTTGGCAAACTTGTCAAACATCTGCGGACTTGCTTAAGATACGGAGGAGTTAGAATGACGAAAACATTAGGCACCCACAACATAATATTAGATACAAAATTAACATGATACAGCGATTTGTTTAGATAGTTACTTGCTCGTAAACAAATAGTTAAGATAACTGCCATGTTATTATTCCAGGGAGCTAGAATTGCTTTTAAACTAGGGTGGGAGTGAAAAATTCTATCGCGAAAAGACCGCGCAGGAGTGAAAAAATCAATTCACAAAAGATGGAACTTATGGGCTCGTGACTGATGTTCAGCAAACAAAGACATCTGTTTCAATTTTGCGTGGACGTAATATCGTAAGCCTGACAAAACGTTTTGGTTTTTAACATCTTAAGCCAATAAAGTGAAACAGAATACATTAAAGCCTAGAAGTTTCATGACAGTGCAATGAGCATAAACAATTATTAACATCAATAATTTGATGCTGTACTTTGCACTTCCCTTTCACAGCTCTTTGATACGAAACAAAGCAAAGGAATCAATAACAAAAAAGCAGAAAATTCAACAAGCATAAAACACTCAAACAAAAAACCTTGGACTCCTACACATCAGCCAATCACCAAGTCAAACACAATAGACATACCTCTGGCTTTGTTAAGATGTGGTCAGGGAAAACAAACATTTTGTCACTGTTTCTTACGAAATACCAATCCTTATTCCATGAAATTAGCCTAAATGCGTAACGTAAAGATGCTTTACTTCATCTCAGCCTGTCTAACCTGTTTGTATAACGGCAGCAGTTGTGAGTTACAGATTCTTGCACAATTCCTATTGCCGCTTGCCATGCACTTAACGAACTTAACCTAACTTAGAGTAGCCCATATGATGAACATCATCTCAACTCACCTATCTGTTGATAGCAGCACTTGTGATAAAAACATGATATCTAAAGCTAGTTTTCGGCTGGTTTCAACTTGCATTTCTATTCAGTTCATTTGTGTATGCTTGTTGACATAAGACAAAGTTGACAACACACAAATCAAAACACTTTAAATCACTTTGAACAACTTTTTTTGATTGTCATGGTTAACCTACGTCAAAGGCAATAATAGGTATGCTCCACAAAACAATCTCCCTTCTCCAAAAATAACATAACTTTTAGATGACCATGCCTGTATTGCTGCTTAGCCTTTTAGCTGCAGCAAAGACATCTATTTTGGCTTGTTTATTCATATTTAATGACAAAGTTTGACATGTTGGCTTCACATTGTAAATGGGATGGTCTGATTATTTGTTACATACCAATATTTAACTCATTTTATAATTGTTATGCAGCTTAGAGTATCCCTGTGTAAAAAAACATAGTGTATATATACAGTACAGTCATTTGCCAGCCAGCAAACCATGATAACTACAGAAAACATCTGGTTAGGGCCACCATGAGGGAACACTTCAAGAAATTTGGGGCAAATAATAAAGAATATGAAACAAAACAAGCCCATTGCATGCCTCGTGGCATCATAATTTGTCTTATGACAAAACTTAATTGATTGAAACAGAAAATGGCTAACTCTGGTTACCAATCATGTGTTGAAAGCAGGTGAGGTAAGCAATTACTTGGTTCACATGAGGCTTACTGGCTTCCTCCTGTTCTCCCCAAGACAAAAAATTAGAACCTTTTACATGGTCTGCTGGCAGACAGTCATCCCACTAACCCCCCCCCCCCCCCCCCAAATATAAATATCAATCATGCCCACCAACCTACGAGATTGAAATGCGAAACAAGTAAGAGGTGTGCATGATAAACATCTCCACAGGACAGAATTTCGCCATCAAACATATCTGTATTAGCTGCGTCAGGTCTCTCCCAAAGCTCTATATGGCAGCATTAGGATGGCCTTGTCAGGAAGCCTGGTGAGTCAGACACTCGAAAGGCTTAGATTTATCGTTATTGAGTAACGCCATGAACCAAGATAACGGGTAAGCGAGAGTTTAACAGGGCAAAAATGGCGGTAAAAACAAGTTCCGTGGTTCAAATTGTCTCCTTCATTCCCTGCGAATGGTTCACTCTTGGGTGCATATCAAATACGTTTGGACGGCTGGAGAATTAATCCAATTTATGTATGAAATACGTACAAGTTTGCAGTTGGAGAATCTTGTAGAGAAATTGGTCAACATTTTAAGCAACAGATAGTATCTCTAAAGACAATCCAAAGGAAAGGAAGAATAGAATGAAATCACACTCGTATGTAGCAAGAAAAATAAAGGTAGTTAAATAAATATAAAGACTGATACTTTTCTGGCAAAATTTTGCAATAAGCTTATTTGACTTCGAATCTGTTAGAGTAAGCGCTCATATGGCGATATTCATCTTGTAAATTCGATTTGGAAGGCATTTCTTGAATCCTTCACTCCTGCATTTTAGGAGTGACGCGATTTAGTGGTCAAGTTTCCTCGGGGAAAAAAATACGTGGAGTAAAATTATCTACCAGGCCTTGCTGGTGTTTGCACCAGGCTCTGCTTTCGTGGTGTGGTGGTGAGACGAAACAATAGGGGATGCGTGAAAACCTTGCATTCGGCACGCAGCTGTCGATTGTAATGCATTTTGTAAACAAACCAAACTTAATGCGTGCAACCGGCTGGGGTCGCTGGGGTTCTTGGACTTGGAGGTACCTGGCGCCCTTGCTCTGTGCATACATAGACAGGATTCAGATGTAGGCGAGGCAGGACATAGCCATGGCCATAGCCATAGCCAGGTTCTGTGGAGCCTCGTTTATGCTTGGTGGTTTCAAGTGAGCTCGGTTTTGGATGGCATCTAAAAACCTCAGAAAGGGAAATAGGAGTTTGGCATGTGCGACTAGACAATGTCAGGCGGGAGTGAGAAATTCACGTAAAATATGGTGCAAAGGAGTGAAAAATTCCTCCTCATAAGCTGTTGCTGTACACCCAAAGTCGGCAATTCTAGGACACTGAATGATTCGGTCCAGTATTTCCCCTTCGCTCATATGCATTGACCGACTCAGGGAAAACTTGGTGGGAAGAGGCTCAAGTCAGCACTGCGGGGTGGGGGGCACATGTCCCTCCCCCTCCACCCCCGAAAGTGTGTAATGTGGCGTCTCTGAATGTGGCATTAAAGGCCAATTGGTATCATATAGTGACCTAGTTTGCCCTGGCTCATTTTCCAAAAAAAAAAACACGGTACCTCGGGTTTCTATCAAATCGGCATGACGTGCTAAATTTAGTTATTGCGACTCGGACTTGAAAAGTACGAATCTATAGAATCCTTTTCAGCTTGGTCACAAGTGGAGTCTGATTGTCGGGGGACCACGCACGGCGGCGCGCCCTGAGTCGACCTGCCACCTCCATGAGACTTGGCTCGACCGGGTGATTTCCTCTCGATAGTGACCTTGAGCTCATTCATTTCAATTTCGAAGGCAGCCATGAAGACATAATTCATGTTGTAAGGCCTGTCATACTCTACAAACGCATGGAAGGCAACGTCGTGCGCCCCGAGTCTTCACAGCACATCAGACATTATGGTACAGATTTAAGCTAAAGCAAACAAGCGCGGAAATGAAACCCTGGGCGGGCATTGCATTGTCTTGTCCAGTCTGACTATGAGCAGAAGCAGTGCTACATTGTGTGCTGGTTTAACAGGCCTGGAAACGAACGCGTCAAATCTGATACAACACGGATGGAATCCGACACCGACTGCGGGAAAACCAGACCTGCCCGAGGGTCAGTGTCTGTAAATCCCGCAGCCGGGAGGTCGCAAAACTACAGAAATGTAGCTTTGCTACTGTCACCAAGTGCCAAATAAAAAATACCGTCGAAGAAGCGTGTTGAAATAGCTCAAGGACAATAGAAAAACGCTCCTACGCCGTGTAGTTTAGTTAAGGCGAGTGCGGTGAAAATAACTTGAGGTCATCAGAAACAGGAGTTGTTGATCTGTTGCATAATCACCAAGAAGCAGTTTCCACATCATGCTGAAGGCAAGTGCAAATCCATTCAACCTAAAGCACAAAAGAACAAGTAATTATCTTCTCCAAAGAACCGACAGTCATCAGCAGAAATAACAGCTCTTTGGATTTGGCAGAAATTGGTGATTAGTTATGCTCGGCTTGTAGAAAGCAGTAGCATCATATACCGTTGATCCTCCTCCTCCTCTTCTTCATCATCATCGTCATCGTCGTCGTCGTTGTCGTCGTCCTTATTATTATTATTATTATCACCACCATAACCACCACCACCACCAACACCACCACCACCACCACCACCACCACCACCACCACCACCACCACCACCACCACCACCATCATCATCATCATCATCATCATCATCATCATCATCATCATTATTACCTACAACAAGTGGATCGGCCAAAGCTACATAAGCTCTATGGACTCAAGGTCCGGCTCAGCTGTAGCAACGAGCTTGGGAAGGCCCTTGATCGCCCGGATCGTGAACCCTGGAAATTGTTGCACACAGTTATGGCTATGGTTAGAGAACATCCGATGCGTTTAAGTCAGAGCAATTTTGTTTTTTCATGCTCTTGGATGGCAGGTGGAATGATTGCGGCCGTCCCTTCCCCCCCCCCCCCCAAATCACTCAAATGCGGGGGCTAATCTGGTGCAATACTGATAATGGCGATGTATGTGCGCATTACATTGCACAGGAGGCTTCAGCACAATCTACTCAGATTCCTTAAATGTATTTGTCAGGTTCACAACAGCACAACGCTAGTGACTGAATTGTTCACTTTCGTAGGGACACTGTCGGAAATTCAACGGCTCAAGAAGCGACAAAGGAAGTTGGGGGCTGTCACAAAAGCTGAGACAGAAAGTTTGTCCGCTGGCCGCAGTGTCAATATTGACTGACGCGATTGCAATCGATTCTGAGCCAATGCAGAAATAACTCACCGCTGAGTTTCAGGCTTTAGAAGTCTTAACGGACGGACATGAAAAGTGGAGGAAAGAAAGAGAGAATAGTGTCACAAGCTGCTGCCACCAGGTGCATGGTAAGAAGACGAGGATTTCGAAAAGTATCGCTGTATACCTTCTACGTCCTCAACGAAGAGGCCCAGTGCCTGGAGGCCAGACACAGCCAGATGCGACGGACGTCAGTTTTACCCTTGAGATGACCTCAGTAGGATATGCCCGAGACTGAAAAGAACACGTCATTGTTGGAAAAGATGGAGAAGAGAGTAATTGTCAACAACCATTGCTGCTGGCTGTCTGGGTTTTGAACTGAGATAGCCATTTTAAAGATAATTCGGTGCAGTTGACAGCTCTGCCCTTTTGACGATTTCAAACCCTCTAGTTTATTGGCTAGATGCCCACGGAGGAACGCAGGCGTTTTATGTAGGCTGTTCGAAGGTCACCCAGGTATGCATAATGCCAAAGAAACTTCAATAAAATCCAGCCACTTCATTGGCCACACGGAGTCCACGGCCAAGAAGAATATAATCGTCGAGCAGTTCTGATGAGTTGTCCGTGAGCACAATTTACGGATACAATGGGCGCCAATTGGCTGTCAATCAATGTTTGGTGTTCAGCGCAAGTTTCAAACACTAATCACGTTTTGTGCTGCACAATACAGGAAGCTGAACACCAGTACTAGTTACGGGGATCATACTTTTAATTTATACGCCTAAGAATAGCGACACATTCGAACATGTGAATGCAAGAAAACACTACAAATCACGGGTTATTACGGAAGAACACCACCAGAAAAAAATCAAAACACCCTCACAACGATATTTGGGTTCGTCAACGTAATCCCATAAAGAATGAATGCAACACGATACGTAAAAGGGAGTGTGTCCAGCTGACTTGAAATTGTTCATTGTGCACGCGGCATTGAAAGAAATGGTGGTTTGTATCGAGTGATATCCTTTGTTTCTACGAATTTGCTTTCATTGACCAAATATTTCAAAATCCCTCAATTTTTTTGAAAGTGGAAAGTCATCGGGTGACCGCAAAACTTTTTTTTACCACTTATTCACCGCTCATATCGCGAGGCTATCGTTAGTTCAGAGAATGGTCTTCCGATAAGGGAGCTCGTCAGCACTGGCAGCAAATTCTGAACACGGTGACTGTGGCCATTGTGCAGTTGACATATGTATTCGCAGTGTTGCGGAGGAATTGAGAAGAGAAATAAATATGGTACCAAAAATAAAGGTCCCGACTACGATCCTCGCCTGGTGAGTTCATGCACTCTAACACACCAGATGAGAGCATCCAAAACGTATTTGTTTCCATCGATGCTGCGATAATCGAGGTAGCTGATATCGAAGTTGTGATCATCGCGGCCAAATGATCTAGGTTGCATCGTATTATGCCATGGTTGGCGAGCTACCCACTCCTGTTGCATTTGCATTGGTCATGGTTCGTGTCGCGTTGCCCGACTTCCCCGTATGCGATGGATCTCAACCACCGGACGGCCCAGTGTCAGCATCTGGCGGCACTGGGCGGCATTTCTACTGAACAGCTCCCCAACACCATGACGGTGAGGTGCCGCGGGCTTGCTCTGCAGGTAGCGGACAGTGACGACAAAACGGACGTACCCTTCTCATTGAAGGGAGCGTTCTATGCCAGACGACCGAAGATAGCGGCTGCCCAGCTAAGTCCTGCTCAGAAATGCGCAATGTCTGTTTTGGACTGCTGTGTTCTCATCAAGCGAATTGCTCAGGATGCTTTCCCAAAGTTCTTTGATCAGGCTGGTTGTGTGAAGAAAACCTGCTCTCCAGCCTACCAAGCGGCAATGTCAAGCCATCTTTTGCTGTGATTGTTAGCTGAAGGGAAGATGCTGCTGTCGCGGTAGAAGGTGGCCCCGTTCAATACACCTGTCCACGAGCTGAAGCGAGAAGAGCTCGTCTCCCGCTCGCTGAGAAGTGAGCGGCACTGTTTCCGCACGTGCACTGGTCGGAGGGTGGAGCGAAGCGAGCGCTCCGCGTCATCACCGGCTTGCCTCGTCGCGGTCACGACCTTGCCCCACCACCGTACTGCCTACACGGCGAGCGTTACGGTTCGTGGTCGCTCATCCTCCAGTTCAGCCGCCTGTCCCCCGATTGTTGTGGGCGTCAGGCAATCATTTGAACGCGTTGGGCATCTGTTCCCTCGACATAGAAGCTGCGGCGATGAAAGATGAGGCCATTGTAGTTGCGTTCATTGTGATATGCAATCTTTTGCGCGGGCTAGTGTTGGGGTGTGATTTGCTTTTGGACAGCAATGCTATGTTGGGTTGTTCTGTGAACACTCGTGTTAAGCTGAAGCTGCGACTCAGGAGGTCTGTGCCTGCCTCCCCCCCCCCGGCCTCCTCCCCCCCCGCAGCCAGCTGTGTGTTTGATGGTCAAGGTTGACCAGCCGTTGTCGTGCGAGAGCGAGTACTTGTTAGAGGGACAACGCTCAAGTAACCTCGGAATGTGCAACCCGCTGATAACACCGTTCACATTAACAGAGACTCCAATGTACATTCGTAACCAGTCGGATCGCCTAAACACCATGCAGAGGTGGAGTGTCACCGCTCATGCGGAGCGGATTGATCATGTTCAGACACACCAGCCCGAGCCTGTTCGGAAATCACCGGTGACGTCACAGCAAACGTGAGCGCGGTGTCTGCCGACGACGGCCGGTATGTTGGAACAAACGCTGATAAGATAGCATGAGATTTTGTGACTGGCCCCTCTATCACTGACTCTCAGCGAGATTAAATGAAGACGTTAACCAGCTCATTTCCGGAGGTGGTCTACCGCGGCTCTGCAAATGTAGGCCGGCGTACGTGCGTGCGTTTCACGCGCTGGTGGCGATATTGGCTTAGAGCTGCAGGGGACATCACAACCGTAGTTCATACGGCTATATACCCAATTTCCATCACGTTGACTCCAAAGGGATCTAATGAGCATCGGACTGTGCAGGACATGCTGTTGTTGAACAGGCCTCTCGTTCCGAAGCAGTTCGTCTTTCCTGCGATTGATGTGTCTGTCTGCTCTCTGCACTGATAAAAGATAGCTTCGACGCATTACATTAAGCATGCGTTTTGAACTGGACAACTTTCGAAGGAATCGAGCAACATGCGTGCGTGTCATGCGCTGGGAAAAACGTTCTATCCTCGGCGAATGCCATTGGTGGCATGCATTGGTACTTTTTGCATCCAGTTATGCGAAGAGTCCTAGGGGACATGGAACATACACACGTGTACGCAGACTACATCCTGCCCACAAGCCCGAGTGTTGGTCAACATTACCAGCTTTTGCACACGATGCTGGAGAGGCTGCACGTAGCGGAGCTCCAGCTCGCTCCAGGTAAATGTCGTCATTTTGCGAACAGCCTTGAAAGGCCTTGGTTATCAGGTCACTGATGGGGTTTCTGATGGGATCTCTTTGGCCCAGATCGTACACAGGCAATGGCTGACCTGAAGCCGCCTAGGCCCGTGAAAGAAGCCAAGAAGACGTTTGGCTCCTTCTCAAGGTCCGTAAATTTGAGAAATTACAGTTCACTGGTAATCATTCACCGTCAGTATTAGCCATTTTTGTGCAAGGTAATGTTCAGCCTAAGTGCCCTGGTAATCACTCGCCGCCAGTCTTAGCCTTTATTGAAAAATATGGAAGTTTCACATAATACCTTAAGTCAAATGGAAAGGGAAATCTTTATGTATACATATTGACGTTCAATTTGAAACCAAGGCACATGCTGATGTGATCGTGCAACTCAGGCTGCAGTATCGTAGGACGATGAAAGGTTATCCAATGAAAAAACAATCAAAAATGTATTGCTTTCAAGAGAATAGACATGTTACATATGAAATAAGCAAAACGCTTTGTAGGAGAACCTTTGAATATTGAAAGCATGCAGTAGCTCTTGGCCATTATTCACGGCCAGTGGTAGCCAAGATTTGATTTTGTAAATGTTCAAAAACGATGCTTAAGCCAGAAATAAATCGTTCCGATTCACAGCAGCACTAGATTGCAGTCAATCTAAAGCAGTGGTATATTTATGCATATCATGTGGTGGCAACAATGTGAACTTGTGATGTTTTAAGTGACACTTGAAGCGTAACTTTTGCCGCAATTGCACTGTCTCCACTGCAAATTCCTAGTTCTGCGCATGCAGGCATACCACAAATAACAACAAAAAACAGACATAGGCGAGTATTAAAGGGAGTACACCACACTTACCAGGGTATTGAGCTGAACCAACAATTTTGGAGCTTATTCGGTGCAGTTTACAGCCCTGTCTTTCTTACGATCTAAGCCTCTCGAGCTTTTGGACTACACGTTCACGAAGATGTGCAGACTATTTCGTGCGGACAAAAGTTCACTATATTACAAGGTTATTCAAGCATGCATAACGCCATAGCAACGCCGTTAAAATCCTGCCACTTCACAATCCAGGCACCGTTCCAGACCAGGGAGAATATTATCGTCAGCCGTTCGGATCTGGCGTTCGCGAGCACGTCATCCAAATATGTTTGACCTCAGCTGGCTCTCAAACAATGTTGAGTGGGCTGTGCAAGCGTCAGTCACGTAGCACGTTTTGTGCTACACAGTATAAGAAGTGGGACAGAGTTTCTCCATTTGCTTGTTGCTACGGAAATAAGACTTAAATAATCGAATAACTTAAGAATAACGCTATACCCTAGTATGAAAAAACGAGAAAACACCTTAAACCCGCGGATAAATATGGAAGAACACCATCCACACGAGTGCATAACGATATTTGGCTCAATGAACATCCCCAGTCCGTGCCACCATCTCTTGAGTTTGAAGTACTACAAGCAAGTGGCGATTTCGCACAGCTAGTTTGGCATTACTTCAACTTCGTACAAACATTCTACAACGCAATCAAAAAGTGACGTATTGAAAAGCATGTTTACTTAATGGAGAAATTGCGTTGTCTTCAGCAGTCTTTTCCACTTAAAAGTACGTCAATAATCATATGTCAGCTTATTTCTTCACACCTGCTGCTCGTTTCAATATCTTCCAGTGTGGAATATCCCCTTTAACATCTTATAAGTTTCCTCAGCGTCAAAAATAACCAAGTATTGTAACCCTTCATCATTTCATATCACCAGGCCCTCACAGATGCATGTCTGATCCTCACAAAGGCTCATTCCAGAATGGCCCAAATGCAGTTGCCGCTCACACGACTGTCACTTAATAATGT